CTTGACACAGGGCAGAGCCCATTGGGACGCCGTCGGTTTGTCCTTGATAGGCTTCATCAAATAAGAACTGTCTAACAAGTGTGTATCGTAATATTTATCCCTTCAGTTTACTCACAGGAATACTAACATCTAATTTCTATTCCGTTATATATTCACTGGCGAAATTAACATATTCAATCAAGAGGATATAGGTTAAAAGTGCTTCCACGTCAATGAAACATCAATTTGCCATGGATGTTCGTGTTTTCCACATGTTTAATAAACTCGAAAGACCTTTAACTGAGTAAATTGACAACTCTCACACACAGACTCCATCATCATCATCATCAACAGCAGTACATCAGCCGTTTGGACTGATGCATCGTTGCCATACAACCATGAGGAACTATGAAATAAAGAATAAGGAGAGGGAGAGAAGGGGGACTTACCTGAAAACCTTAATACCCTAAGCAAGCATTCAGGGTCACGGCACCTACACCTTGTGTAAACAACATACCGTCACAAACAGCTGGCTATCGTGCAAAGATAAGGCGGCATCGACGAGACAGCTTCCTTGCGGCTTTCACTGCCACGCGTCATAATCAGCCATTACCTCGCAGATAACTCAGCACCAAACATACTTTAAACAGGCAATCCGATTAGGAGACGGCAGCAGATGCGCCACTGGTGTCTACTGCGAGCCATGTCCTGTAAAGTCTCGAGCCAAGCATAAAGTGAGTCACGTGGACCCCACCCCGGAAGGCGAGACGGACCAACGGCACCTAGTCTGGTCGTCAGTGACTTCATTTCCCGCTGCCAAGTCAACTTCTGTCCACCTCGAGCCTTGCGCCATCCTATACCTGGTAGACTGAACAAGGCCCTCCTAGGTAAGCGGTGACCAGGCATGCGTAGCACGTGCCCGAGCCAACGTAACTTATTCAGTGCTATCTGTTGTTCTAGGGTTACAGCATGATAATCACTGCCTAGTACTCGCCTACGCACATCATCGTTGGGTATACGCTGGTGCCATCCGACACCAGCAATGCTTCGCAAACAACGATGATCAAAGACTTGAAGACGCCTCAAATCTTCAGACCGGAGGGGCCAAGTTTCACCATAGAGCAGAACGGCCCTCACTGTGGCCTTGTATACACGGCCTTTCAGACGGAGGGAAACTCCCTTCTGTCGCCAAAGATGACGCAGGTTCAAGAAGGCAACTATGGCCTTTGCAATCCGTGAGCTGACGTCAGTTTCTGTGCGCCCATCATGGCTGATGCAGCTGCCAAAATAAGCGGAATGATCAACCACCTCCAGTTCCTCGTTAGCAAGCGTCAAGGGGTGATCAAGTGGCTGGTGGTCCTGCAGCAACACTTTGCACTTTGACGGTGCGAATGGCATACCAAATAATGGGACCACTCTGGACAGGCTATTCAGGGTTGATTGTGCCGCCTCAACATTGTCGAAAAGCAAGACGATATCGTCCGCATAATCTAGGTCAACTAACCTTTCACCAGGCAGCACTTCAACGCCTACACCGTTGGATTCCGTCAGGGAACACTCCATGATAGAATCCACGACGAAATTGAACAAAAACGGGGAAATCGGACAACAATGACGAACGCCAATTGTGGTCGGAAAGCTTTCCGATAGGACACCATAGACCCTGACGCGGCCTGTAGTGTTCGAGTATAGAGCACGAAGGATGTTCACATATTTCGTGGGAACACCTTTTCGCGCAAGTATTTCTAACAGAATCGATCGATCGACTGAATCGAACGCACTCTTGAAATCGAGGAACACAACTATTGTCGGTCTGCGGTATGGGTGGCGCTGCTCTAGCACCTGTCGCAAAGTAAATATATGGTCTATACAGCCACGTCCTGGGCGAAAACCGGCCTGCTCTTCCCTAATCCGAGATTCCCGTTCTGCAGTGAGGCGATGAATGATAATCGAGGCCAGTAATTTTGTCACAACTGGCGTCAGGCTAATGCCCCTGTGGTTCGCACAGTCTGTGCGACTGACCTTTTGGTATATTGCCACTATAATCGATTCGCTCCAATTAGCCGGCACACTCCCTTCCTTCCAGATACGTTCGAATAGGGAGGTCAGTGTCCTGCAGAGGACCTCACCTCCATCCTTAAATAGTGCAGGTGGGAGGGAATCCGGGCCAGCGGCACGAAAACGATTGAGGGCTGTGATCGCGTTTCGGATCTCGGCCTCCGACGGAGGCTCTAAACTAACCGTCCATGGCTCGTCCTGCATCACCTGAGTAGGAAGAGGTCCGGGAGCAGGGGGCCAGCTTAAATGATCTTGAATGTGTTCTGCCCAACGAGTCATACGGCGCTCCTTATTGTGTATCAGCGTACCCGCGCTGTCTCTGATTGTTTCACTGACGCCTAGGTTTCTGGGACCAGTGGTGCGGATTAGCTGGAAGAGCTTGCGGTAATCGTCTACTGCTCCCGCCTCCTCCATTTCTTGAGCCCGACTGGTCCACCAGGCTTCCTTATCAGCACGCAGGCTCTGCTTTAGTTCACGCCTAATAGCCCGTCTGATCACATTGTGTTCAGAACCAGCCGGGAGGTGTCTTCTAGCTTCCAACAGGTTCACGGACTTCTCGGATATCCAGTGACCGGTGCGGTGACGACTGATAGTGCCACAAACAGATGCTCCTGCGTCGTGCATAGCGGCGAGATCCTATTCCACTGAAGTTCATTATCATTAGGACAAGACAGCGAGAGTTCGCTATGCAGTGCTTTTTGATAGGCTTGCCTGACAGAAGGCTGGGACAATTTCTCCGTTGCCAATCGGGGGAGACGCTTTGTGCGCCTTCCGGTAAAGTTCATGGAGAAACGACAGCGCACCAAGGCATGGTCAGAGTCGACACAGGTACCCCAGTACGAGCGGCAATCCAGTATGGAACCGCGCCACCTGTAACTTATGGCAATATGGTCAATTTGGGTCCACCGCTGGCCAGCTACAGGTGGAGGCCAAGTGGCACTTCGGCGCCCACTGTATCTAAAAGCAATGCTACTAAGAAACAACTGGTGCTCCGCACACAGTTGCAGCAGACGCTCGTCGTTGTCAGTCCGTTCGGAGTTAAGTCCATACTTACCACCCAGCTGAGCTTCTGAAGAGCTCAGACGCCCTACTTGTGCGTTCATATCCCCTGCAAGTACTATAATATCTGAACTAGTAGCACTGCGTAGCAGCGTGTTCAGTTCGTGATAGAAAGTGTCCTTGACTGCATTAGAACTGCAGTCCGTGGGAGCATAAGCAGAAATCACAAACAAACAGCGTTTTGTTTTACTTCGCGAATTCACCTTAGCTGATCTCGTCAAACGGGCTGCACATAAACGGCTGTTCACCTGAATCCAATCAACCAACGATGACTCAGCCTTGGAGCTGAGAATGATACCTACACCAGCTTGACCCGTGAGTGCCGCATCGGCGTCTCCGGATGCGTGCAACCAATAACGAGAGGATAAGCCGGGTGCAGTCAATTCAATAACCCCGTTAGGGTCATTAATCCTAGTTTCGGACACAGAACACACATCAACACCCAGTGTGTCCAAGGTGCGTGCGAGTGAAGCCTGCTGACCTGTTTGTCTTAGAGTGCGGACGTTGAATGTCGCCATGGAAACGGGACAGCGTGGCCTTATAATGGACTTTTGCCGATAGGCGTCCGATAGGTGCTGTGGGATGGTGACTGCAGATGGTTCTACTCCAGTAGCACTTCGTTTGCTGTCAATTAAGCTGGGAATTATAGAAGGATGGTTAGTAATGGGGGCCGGGATAGGAGTAAGAGAAAAAGGTGGAAAAGACTCCAACACTTCTAATATCCACTGCGCAACCGCTTTGAATGCGGTATGTCAGTAACTGGGCGCAGTGGGACTTGTGCTTTGTGCACTTTTGGTGGTCCTTAAAGGCAGGGTGGTTGCGAGTCGACTGGAGTTAAGCGATCTAAAAGGGTACCACTTATCAAATTATTTTGCTTTAATTCCGTCAACCACTTCGTTAGTTTAACCTCATCCACTGGGGTTCTGTCTTTCTGCACTTTATCGCACATGAATTTATTTGGATCTTAAAATAATGGCATGAAGTTTGAAGATATACTCAGACTTATCCAGAAATACCCATCCAGATCCTTTATCTGGTCTGAAAAGTATCAACTCGGGATTGGAGCATAATTACTTGATGACTTTCTGAAATTTCTTTGACAGCACATTGGAAAAGGGCTTCGCGGCCTATATGCTGTTGTGTAAGATGCATCAGTGTCCACCCTGTAACTTTCTCCCAAAATCAGTGGTACCCTCACCTACTTTGGCATTTTCAAAAACGGTTGGATATTGCTCCTAGCTCCCGGCACTACTTTCCGTAAACTGCGCTATTGTGGATCACATTAGTCATGTCCTTCTAACGGATTTATGTGGCACATGGCCCCAACGAGCCGGCGCATGTGTGAGCGACCGTATGTTGCATTTCTCAATGCATCCAGAGTAATTCACTAAGCTTGCATTTCAATTTTTATGGTTTGCTAACATCGTTCATCTCGGTAGACGCTTGGTAGATGACGCACGTGCGTTTTGATTTTTAATGTATTTACCCCAACCGTCATACAGAAATATAAACATTTGGTTTTAACCCATGATAAATAATTGTCTATTGTTCATCGTCACGACTACAATGCAATGGGACTCCGAATTTGGCGCGTTCGCTAAGCGGATAAAGCTCCCACTTACGCTCTAAATGTAATGAAAACTCGCCGTCTCGTCCTCGGCTGATAAATAGACCATCGTCTATTAAAGAATCGGCCGCATATTAACGACCTCAATATCGAGATAACTCATTAGCTACATGAAAGTACACTGTTAGAATACCCTTGTTATGAATGGACGTAACTATATTAGCGAATTGCGATCAATGGTTTGCGTGCATGCAGGTAGAGGCACCGCATTTGCGCTATGAACCACGGCCCAAATGTTCACCTTCTTATCAACCGCAATTTTCTGCAACAATACACTCCAGGTTCAGTTTCGCTGCACATCAATGTTTCATCCAATTATACTGCTAATCGATATGATCGCATGTTTTGGTGAAGCAATCCTACTGTGTGTCTGGTGGAACCACGGTTGTGAAGCTATAATAACTATGTGTCGCACGTGTTTCACAGCCATACTGTGGAAAACATGGAGGAGGTGAGCGCGGTGGTTGAGAACAGCAGTATGAAAGAGGAGATGTTGGAGGACGCAGTGATGATCTCGTCGGACGCAATGCAGCGGTTCCAGGATCACAAGGATATCGCAACCTATGTAAAAAGAGAATTTGATAGGAAGTATGGTAAAACTTGGCATTGTGTCGTTGGCAGAGATTATGGCAGGTGAGATATTGAGTTGTTTCTTCTAACTGTAAACTCGCTTCGTTTCATGGATAAAACAATTACCACTGTTTCTTCCATTCCAGTTTCATCACACATGAAGAAGGACACTTTGCTGATTTCCGCTTGCAGCATCTTGCCTTTCTCTTGTACAAAACTGTTTGATACAATACAGGCAGCTAAAACAATTGCTTAGGTGTATATGCTTTTTGCACTTGAAAAACTCTGTTTGGAGGGATTTACGAAGAGCATGCACCGAATTCACACATAAAGGAGCTATCGCAACTGTGACACTTATCTTTCGTAGACAACAAAACAAGGTTTTGCAGATTGTGCTGGTCGTCAGATTAGAATATTAATTTGCAAAAAACAAACCTATAAGGGGGATATAGAGTATGACGAGGGATAGCCTAGTTTTGTGTGAACATTTGGAGGGGTTTGGTGGAACAAATTACGGATAAAACCTGTTGGTGCCTCCTCCTTTCGTAAGGACATCGGCTGTGTACTAGGTAGGTAAACATAGTAATGCAACGATGGCTTTTTTTAGAGATGATCAGGATGTGATCTACGAAACCGCGAGGAATATGCTCAAAGACTAAACCAACTATTTGCTTAACAATAAACTGATTATAAATTACCAATTGAGAACTGTATGTTTTATGTGTCCGGGTGGATTAAGTGTTTGGAAATTTAAGAGACGCATACAGAACACCGCATGGAGTCATTTTAGCTGACGTTACTCGTAAGAAAAACAATATCAAGTCCGCTTGTATCACTTTCCATTCAGCCACCCGGGTTACAATTCTAGATAAGGCTGGTCACGAATGCATACTCCAGAATGTCACAGTCTATGTAGCAAAGTGTGGGAGGTCAGTGCAGTATTTAAGTACTTTTGAAGGCAGCCGGTGTGAGGGCACAAACAACCGAGTTTAGTAGAGTGTTCCTGGGTTTGCAGACGGGCAAAGCAAGTGACTCCAATGGAACCTAAAAGACTGTATTCCACCTTCGGTTTCTTGTGTCTATGCCCTGAGATCGAGTGGCCCTTTGCTTTCGGTAGGTGATGGCATAAACAAGTGGTGACACTTTCCGTATTCGGTTTGTGAATAGTGCTGACACGTGAACACGGGGAACTTATAGGAAGTAGTATATATCCGACGATTCCCTAGCCGACTTTGCGCATGATCTGACTTCAGTTGGTGATGCCTTGGTTAAGTATGGCTGCCAGCTATAAAAGGGTAGTGCCGTAATCTATGCAGACTGTATGATGAAGTAATATGGTTATGAGAACACTATGTAACTTTGATCGCCGTTAGCAGCACATGCGACCTAACATGAGTAATTGATATGCTCAGCTATACTTAGTTTTGAGGTTCTATGGGCAATAAACATGAAACGATCAGATGGTAACATATTCCAAAACGAACTGCGCCGAACATTTCTTTGCGTACACATGAACAGGTTGGTAATTGACGGATAAACAAAAAGCTGGAACTACGTGTGCCTTTCCATAGCTGCTTTCGTGTGAAGTACAGAGCCATTGATGATGTAATGGTGCTGATAACATTATGCTGAGTTTCTGTACAGAAGTGGTGAATCTGTAGCTAAGTCAACGGACATAATTTCCCGTTCTTCGAGGGTAGCCCTTGATGGATGTACTTTCTAATGAAATAAGAATGTTACAATCAAAGAGCGCTTAAGTTGCAACAATTGCCATTCAGACTAACACACGAGTCTAGGCCCTGACAGATTGTTCCTTTATATAATTAAAAACCAGTCAGTTTAACGAGAAGTTTGTTAATAGGGCAAATAATTAAAAGTGTTCCTTTTATTGAAACGAACTTTTTACTCGGCAGTCGAGCCCCTCATCTGAATTCATTGTTTAGTATTCAAACGGAAAGTAGTGTTTGCTTAGACGTTTAGCTGATCGTGCGAAAGGTTACACCGCTTGTCAGGGTCGTTTGCTCCATTCACGTACCCGACCGGAAACACTTTATTCCTTTGGGTAGTTATTAATTAATTTAGACAGTTTGTGTCAACGAGTAGTTGTGGAATAGGCAGTCAGTGGACAAAGAAACCACTCTGTGTCGTGCATCCAAGATTTTGTTTCTTTACTATAATGACCACTCCTAGCACTAAACTTTCCATCCACCACTTTTTGTACATCTGGAAAGTATACTTTCTCCAATTCCATATCATTGAAGCAACCACAAAAAGCACTGCTTCACCAAGTTAAGTTGATGAAACATCGCGAGCTTGCTGGGGGAGTTCCCCTAGCCAGGTGAAAAATAAATCAACGGCGAAACCAAGCGTGCCGATTAGGTGGTGCAGTTTCAGTAATCTGAACTGGGATTCATCTACCAGATCAATGAGAAGTCCCCATATTTGACGCG